ATGTGTGTGTGTGTGTGTGTGTGTGTGAGAGAGATTTTTGGGGAGCGTGAGAACAGTTTTTCAAGTGTGTGCGCGTGTGCATGTGTGTGTGTGGGGAAGGGGGAAATTGTATTTTGGTACTTTATTGGTAGCAACCGAACAAATTAATGAAAAGCTCAACCTGAACCCATTTTTTTCCCTCCTTTGTTCCTTTGTGTTTACTTCAGTGATGATTCGACTCAACAACAGTCAATACTTCCATTTCCTGCAGTGGGCCAACGCTTTACGGCGCTCAGGTTCAATGTGTGATGCCCTCATCTTGGTGAAGAACCAGACATTTCGGGCTCATCGGCTGGTGCTGGCCTGTGCTAGCAGACGACTCGAACAGAAGCTCGCCCAAGCGGACACAGACCGAGAGGTCCACTGTCAACTGGAGGATCTCTCACCAAAAACCTTCCAGCAGGTCTTGGACTTTGCCTACACACAGAGTCTGGAGGTGTCGGAAGATGACCTGCAACAGCTTCTCCTGGCTGCTCAATTTCTGGAAATGCACCCGCTGGAGGAGCAGTGCCAGCGCCACTTGGACACACTCAGAACAGGGCAGGTGGATCAAAGACACAAAGGAACCAGTGAGAGCGATGAGGAAGAGGAGCTCAAGAAAAAGAGCGATGCGGAGGAGAACCTCCAAGAGGCTCCTTTCACCAAAACCAATATCACGGAAAAGACAACCGCGGAAGAATCAAGAAAAAAGTCCAAATTGACGATATACAGTCGAGGCAGCGTCATCACCAGCTCAGTCTCCAACTCGTCCTCCTCTCCTTGGACCATCCCAAACCACATGTGGAGCTGCGCAAGCAGCCTGAGACGTCGAGCCGAGAACGACTCCACCTCGCAAGCAGCTCAGCCCTGTCAGCCCCCTGCAGCACATGCCATCACTTTCCCCACACCGCACATCTTCCCTCTTCAAGGACCCCATTTCCAGTCCCCGAGTAACCGCTCTGTGGTAACAGGCTTGCATCCATTTTATGGACAACGGCTTTACTTTGCCACCACTGAGACGGGAGGTAACATCAAACCGGACTTGCAGGTGACAAGAATAAAGGCAAGAAAGAAGGCAGACAAAACCAGTGAGATCGGGTAAGTACTATAATGCTCTTAGTAGGAGGAGGAGGAGTATTGAATATTATATTATGCATATAAGGCACACACACCCATCCATATATACGGTAATCTAGGCAATATGTGTGTATACAATCAGATGATAGATGACAACGTTATATCTTAGATTTTCCGATTACGATTGTTATAGAATAATATTTATATATTATGTAACATATTACATTACATGATTAAGTATTTTAATATCTGACAGTGGTCAACTCATTTTTAATCAGAGATGTAAGGAAACTTTGGAGATGTTTTTTTTTTGCACTGATTCCGATGTTTTTTTTTTCTCGAGAACATCAGGTTTTACTCATAACAACAAAAATAAAAGAATCACAATCAATAGTGATGTATGTAATGCAGTTTCATGTTAAAATGTCTTTTTTTGACAGACTCGAAAGCCAGCAATTCTTTACATGTTATCCGTTTTCTTCATTATCTGTCTGCCTGAAATGTTATGAATCAAAACCGATTGAACACTCTTAATTGTTTTGAATAAATGCGTGCTGCCTCTCGTTCCACACGGTATCACCCAATTGTGTGTGTGTGTGATTTCCATTCATTAACTTGATTTTTCCCATCAGAGCGTTAAAACACCCGACTCATCGGCATGTGCTGGTTTTAGAGTGAAAAGGAACAAAAAAAAAGTCAGATCTCCAAATATCAATAATGTAGTTGTTTTTTTTTTTTTTTTTAATGAATCGCCTCAAAACCGATTGAATACTCTTAATTGTTTTGAATAAATGTGCGCTGCCTCTCGTTCCACACTGTATCACCCAATTGTGTGTGTGTGTAGGGGAGTCCCCTACATTTCTCCCCTCCTTTGCACAAATCGAGATTTTCCACCCACTGAAACCCTTTTGCGTGGCAAAAAGCGGCAATTTCTACACTATGTGAAACTGTTTTGGACCTTTGTGAGGGGGGGAAAAAACCCCCAACTATTACTGTGTTTCTTTGAATGATCCTCTTCCTCCCACTCCGATGCAGCATGACAGTATTTATCCTGTAGTTGAGACGAGAGGAAGTCATAGACTCAAAGGCCACGACATTAGGTACACTTGCACAACCTAATGAGCTGCATCACAAGAGATGCCACTCCGTCTTTTCTAAATGATGAATAATATAGTATAATAATAATCATAGCCTATTATTTACATTAATATCTATCAGACAGTGTATTTTTTTTAAATGGTATTACTCTATAAAATTTCTCAGGGCTGACCCCCAACTATTACTGTGTTTCTTTGAATGATCCTCTTCCTCCCACTCCGATGCAGCATGACAGTATTTATCCTGTAGTCGAGACAAGAGGAAGTCATAGACTCAAAGGCCACGACATTAGGTACACTTGCACAACCTAATGAGCTGCATCACAAGAGATGCCACTCCGTCTTTTCTAGATGATGAATAATACAGTATAATAATAATCATAGCCTAGTATTTACATTAATATCTATCAGACAGTGTCATTTAAAAAAAAATGGTATTACTCTATAAAATTTCTCAGGGCTGACGTATTTATTTCGTTTTTGGATTTCGCTTGACTCTGGTCTACCTGTTTGGTGTGAAGTTTGTGTGTTTTCCCGTCGCTTGCTTGGGTTTTCTTCAGGTACTCCGTCTTGCATTCTCAAAGCATTCACGTTGATCCAGACTCTCAATGGTCCATCCAGTGTGAACGGTTATTTGTCTACTGTACTGTATAGTGCAGGGGTGCCCATTACGTCGATCGTGATCGACCAGTAGATCAGTGACTGGTTCCAAATCGATCCGAGGGGTGTAGAGGAAAAAAAACATTTAAAAAAATAATTGTGTCTCTGTGCATGTTAGTAATATATTTTTGTGTTAATGCACACTGCACCCTAATCATTCTATCAGTCTCCCTTTCACAAAAAGTATTTAAAAAAGAAACTAAAATAAAGCAGGTCATCTTTAACCCAAGGTGGCGTGTGACTGCATCACCGGAAGTTGTTGGCGCTCAGCAGTCTGCAGTTGCAGCTTGTGTTCAGAGTTGTTGCGCTATTCTTTTATCGTTGTCATTATTCTCATTCAGAGTTTGTTTTGTATAATTCACTGAGGGGACGGGCAAAGAATAGGAATCTGGAGGGCCGATCCCGGGAGGTTGGTTGATCGAAAAGTAGATCTTCCGTCAAAAAAGTTTGGGCACCCCTGGTATAGTGTATGTGCCCTGCGATTGAGTGGCAAGCAGTCCAGTTTGTAAGCCGCCTCTCACCTAAACTCAGCTGGGATGGGGCTCACCTGTGACTGTAATGCGGATAAGCGCAATAGACTCGACTATTATTATCAGCTGCAGAAGTAGTAATACGAGTGTCGCTGAATGTCAATCCACACAACACACAGTGAACACAACAGTGCTCATCACAAAACACAAAAACAAGACTTAGTGGCAGAATCATGCATTGGCGCCTGAGTCACACTGAAGGGAAATGTGAACAGTTCCAAACAGCAATTGTGTGTGCTCAAAGCCTGTAGGCTTCAGTTAGAAAGTTAAAAAAAATGTTAGGAAAAGCCTACTAAAATAATTTAACTTTATTTGCCGTTAAACATTTACATTTAAAAGGTGGCAGGTGTGTGTTGACACCCCTTTAATATGAGTCCAAATATGATTGGATCTTTCTGAGCGCAGCCACATCGGCAGTTTTAACAGCATGTGCACGCTTGTGCAATCACATTATCTCGGTTGTTCACATTTACTTCCCCTCCTCGAAACGATTTAATTTATTTTTGCTATTCAGTTGGACAGCCAGTTATAGGTCGCATGATAAATGTGGGAAAAAAAATTGAAATGATTTATCTTGGTCTCATTTTATTATGTATAATCACAAAACCTGGCATTTGAAAAGTGGTGTGTAGACTTTTTATATCCACTTTTTATATCTACCAGCATGTCCGACTCATTTTGCGGCTAGTAGACACAAAGTAGAATATGGTGTCAACCTGTAAAAGCTCGCCATACAACTAGTAAAAGTTGTGGCAGTAGTAGTACTCATAGCATCATGAATAGGAATGACGTTTTGTTTTTTTTTAATTGTTTCTTTTTACAGGGTCACTCCTCGTAGGTAGATGTGCTGAGTCCATTTTTAACAGTAACCTGGTGATTGACTTCATATCGTACAGTCTCAACTCAACTCAACTGTATTTATAGAGCACTTTCAAACAGCCATCGCTGCATACAAAGTACATACAACAGTAAAGCAACAAATCGGTAACAAAGACGGCAGAGAGCACCGAACAGCAAAACCAAGAACAAATCTGAGTCATGCTGAGTCAAATGCCATAGAATACAGTTGAGTAAAGTGAGTTATAAAAGCTGAGTGTAAACAAAGTAAAAAAAGTAATTTTCTCCACAGTTGCCCAGGAGCGCACGAAGCCAACATAGTAAAAGAATGCAACCACTGCAGGTCACAACCGCGTCGTGATCCTGCCTCCTCGCCGTCAGGTAACCACCGTAAGCCAACACACAATACAAATCATATAATCGACATAATGTACAAATAAGCAAGAGCACGCATCAGTGGTGTTGGTGCAGAGTGTCATCAAGCCGATGTGAAAGATAATGTCACACTTAAAAAAAAAAAAGCAACACTTGTCATGACCTCCAATGATGAACTACGCAGTGGAAAGTAACCAAGAGAGTTGTGGTTTCGCGAGCATAGCGCAGCATGTGGTTTACGAGATGCAGCTATGCTGCAGTACAGTATGTACTGCACACAAGTGTGGTGTGTGTGCAAAAACAACATCACACAATCACGCACGCAACGTGTACTGTTATAAATGTAGCTGACATGGCTGGATTGTATACTGGCAGTTCTTCGCTCCACAACAACCCAAAAAATATTAAGCCTACGCAAAATGTACTACAAGGGCAGTCAGTATAAGACTGCAAGCGCAACTAAGCCATGACTGCCAAGTAATGGTGATATTACAACTTAAAACCATGCAATGGAACCCGACTATAAGCAAGGGAAAGAGACCGGGCTGCTACGTTGGTCCCTTCACCACATTTTTTCACCTCTTTCACTTCAACACTACAACAATGTCAGAAAAGTCAACACAAAGTGACATGATGCTGACTCAAATCATCACACAGCTGATTCAACTGTGGCATATCTTACAACATAGTCAAAGACAGATTGGATATTTTTTCACAATATTGACATGTATGAATGGAACTACATCATGTTGAAATCAAACCATGATGGGTTGATTTTCTTGCACCTTGCTGTTGAATAGGTGAAGCCTGCGCATGTTGTCGCCTCTTTGTGACAGAAAATGAATGCCGACTGAATGGGCAAGACTTGAGAGGAGAGAGACCCTACCAGTGCCGACACTGTCCTAAGAAGTTTAGTCTCAAGCATCAATTGGACACGCATCACCGTATTCACACAGGTGAGTAAGTGAAATTTAAAGAGTCTTACAGGATCTTGGCTGACCCGTGAGACCAACTGAACTGCTTAAATGTAAAAATAACAAACCTCTTGATGGCCTCCTCTCGTGCCAAAGGTGAGAAACCCTTTGAGTGTCGTCTGTGTGGTCAGCGTTCCCGGGACTTCTCAGCCATAATCAAGCACCTGCGGACTCACGGTGGGGCATCCCCTTACCGGTGCACCCTGTGCTTAGAGTTCTGCAGCAGTCTGGTGGCCATGCAGAGGCACGTCAAGAGCCACCCGCTGCACGAATTCCCCCCAGACTGGAACATCAGTTGCACATACCTGTACACGTCACATATCAGTCAACACTGACTGACAGCTTTTAACAGGAAACATCTGTATAGCGTAATAATGCACTTGGTGTCTTCTTACATCACCTGCCAGTTTGGAGGACTTGATCTATGTTGACCTGGTCCATCTGTTCGGTTTTAGAATCAAATATGACCTTTGAATTTAAAACGTTAAGGTTCATCCCCGAGTTATCTTCAATTGTGAACATTGACTGCCCATTTGTGAAAATGTGGCTTTTTTTTTAATTTACACTATTGCATTTGATTATTAAAATGGATGGTTGAAAAACAGTGTGACATTTCACTTGCATAACACAGGATTGGACAAAAGATTTCAAGCGCATAGGGATGTGACATTTCACTCAAGCCCTGCTTTGATTCAAATTCCATTTCCCGACTTCAATTCGATTGTAAGTACAACATCTTTTTTTTTTTTACATCAATGCATATTTTAGGCAGTTTAAATTGGTTTTATCGATTTTCGATGAATTGTTACATCCCTATCTACAAGGGCAGCATTCTTCATTCAAGTATCACTTTTTAACAACCGTTCCCATGTTAGGCAGCTAACCATTTTTAGCATTTAGCTCCATAGCTAGCAATAACGGATCAAATCAAACAAGAGAAACTATGCCGAAAGTATATGTGATGATTTTTTTTTTTTTTTAACTTTCTTACCTGATAAGTTTTTTTCTTGGGGGCTCCAGAGCAAGCAGTTTTCAACTCGGAAGAGGCATGAGGCTTCACCAGAGTTGAATTTGCAAGTGGGCATGGACTGTATTGATGACATCACCACAGCTGGATTCTGAGTGGTCAAACTGAGAGCGTTCCAACCATCCCTTCGTTACTAAACATCCCGGTCTCCCCCTACATAGCATGAGTGTGTGACTTTTGCCACCTGTATTTGCCGTAATAGAAAGCACACACAATCCTGAGATCCAATAAAAGCTCAGTGATTAAAAAAAAAAAGACCCCAGGTATAGACAAATAAATGCAACATATTTGTTGAAACGTCTTAACATCTTTATTTAAACAAATAATATAAATAAAAAAGTGCATAGAAAAATTAAACAGGTTTAGAAATACATGTACAAATATTTACAAACTCAGGGTTGATTTGTACATGGTAACAAAGACATCAATTTAAAGATCACAATTTTCCTCATTTTTGTCTTTAACACTTACTTTAAAATAACCCTACTATATATATATTTATATATATTTGTGTGTGTGTATGCGTGCGTGTGTGTATATTTATGTATAACATATAGCTTTCTGAACAGATGCTGGGTAAGACGTGGACCTTTTTTTAGACGTCTGATTACAATTTTGCATCCTTCATTGCAAACCCACTAACACACACACACACACACACACACACACACACACACACACACACACACACACACACACACACCTAAAACAAAGCGAAGTCAGGTGTCGCCGAGCAAACACCAACTCTGCAGACATTAAAACCGAGTTATCCTCTGTTTTTGCATCAGTATTCCCAAACATCTGTTGTGACAGCTGAGGTAGAATCCTTGCAATAAATTGGGAGTGACTCTGTTCTCTTTTTGTGTGTGTGTGTGTGTGTGTGTGTGTGTGTGTGTGTGTGTGTGTGTGTGCGTGTGTGTGTGTGAGATTGACACTAAACAATCTGGGCTCCATCCCAGTGATTGGACATGCAAAATGGGCACAAAGGTTGACACACATTACAGTCTGCTCAAAATTGTTTGGGAGGGGGGGAAAAAAACAGAAATAAGAGGAGCGTGGGGCGAGGTGAATCAACAAGGGTTTAAGGAGGCAAACAGTGCTCGCTTTACTTCTGTGGCATTCTCTAAGACCGTCAGTTCGTTGCCACAACATAAAAGAAATAAAATTAAAATATTCTTTAAAAATACCTGGTTCAAAAACTGAAAAAAAGCCATACATGTATGATTGGATTGCCTCAACAGAAATTTCAAGTAAATTAGTGAAACAAAGGACAGCACTTGTAAACAAAACAAAACGGGCACTACAAATGGAGCTGTACACCCACCACCGTTTATACAAAACAAGCCTTTCACCATTAAAAGTAAAAATCAAAATGCAAATAAATATCACGACTAATTTTAAACAGTGTGAATTCAATTACGCTCATTAAAGACAGTACTGAACATCACTAAGAACAACAATTCCATACTATCTTAAATTAGGTGCCGAGTGCATCGTCCCCAGGTTCCATTATCGATGGCTTGTCGTGACGCGACAAGCCTGTTGCGGGAGCTGGACGCACATACTCAGTGGCAATTTACACTCACGTTCTCCCTGATTTACAGATCAACAGTATCGGGTTTCGCAAAATGAGAATTTGTACGGCCATTTATGTGCAACTGTGGGACAGTCTTGTTGGAATAGCTGAAGAGTAGAGCGGAATAAATAACTCTTCAAAAACTCTGATTCATCACTCTTTTGGTTTGGGTAGTGTTTGCTACATATAGTGTACATCAAGGAAGTCTTTTCATTTCACCGAAATGTTTAACTTAAAATGGACAGTGAAGATGAGTTTTTCAATGTTGTTGAGTACTGCTCGGGTGAATTTATTTAAAAAAAATATCCGTTCTGTGCAGGGTGAACACCCAGCTAAACCAATCCTTATCTGCAGGACCTCCCCGTCCTGAGAATACACTTCATTGCTTAGCACCATGGTTGTCATCTGGAGGGGGTGGGTGGGGGGAAGCAATAAAACATCCACAAAAAGAGATGTGCAGCATAAAATAAGGTTTGGGTGAATATATGGCTCACTACAACACAGACGGGGCAATAACGTTCCCTACACTACAGGATGGAGCAACGGTGATAATGAATGTACTCTAGAAAGGCGACGCCTCTCCTCTGGAAAAAGACTCAAACTTAAGGAATCTCTCAAAGCCAAGCTGCAGCTTTTCAGCGTTGAATTTGACGGATAAGGCTTGATGTGTGTGTCTCCGAGAAATGTGAACCAGAAGTCACGGCCATATTATAAATATTCAAAACGTGAGCCGTCGTCACGGGCAGCCTGGGGTACCCTTCAAACACGCATCAGTGTAGGACAACCTCCTTTTCTGCTCCTCCCAACTACGCACATAGAATGATGTCAACTTGTCTCAATAGTGGCTAATTTGGGTTCCGCGCTCAATGAGCGCCTTCAGCATTTGAGAGCTCCATCCAGTGCCACCTTAATTAAAGGCTTTCGAGTAAACAAGAATGTCTTAGTCTCAGACGACGACGGATCTCTCAGTTGAGGAAACGTCGACAGCGCCGGGCGCCGCAGTTACAGTTGAGCTTGTTGCTGGCGTCCTCAATGGGGAACTTGTAGTCATAGGTGAGCTCCTCCCCTCTGTAGATTTTCCTCAAAGCAAAGATGACAATGTGCTTGCGGCCCTCTACATTGATCACTCGCGAGTAGCAGTTGGGCTCGCACGAGTGGTTGATGAATCTGGCCGCATTGCCGTGCATGGTCGCATCCACCACATCAAAATCATCGATGCGGAACATGTAACAGCCAATACCCTGGCAGAAAGAACACAACAAACTCATTTGCTCCCTTTCTTGTCTCCCTTTTTTTTTTTTTTTAAATCATACAGCACTCCCTCACTACATAGCCATTCATCATTCGCTCCCTTGCTATATTCTAGCTATTTAATCGTTTTTACAGTACATATAAAGGCAACTCTGGGTTGGGAGTTAGTGTAGAACCAAGTTGTGTTACAACATGCTCGCAGTGTTTGCGCTGTCCACTCGCAATCTAACCATTGGCGTGTGGATATGCGAGTATTTCACACATTAGTCTCGTTGGAGAAGGGCCAATTTGGCTGATTGAAATCACCCATGCCAAAAATCGTGTTTTTCCTCCATTTGGTAAAATGTTTCAATTCTACACTAATGTGGGACTGAGTCGAAAACAAAAATTGGTCGACACAATAATTGTTGCCTCTAAACTAAAATTAATCATTTTAAAACCATATTTGCACTGCCTGGAAACATGTTTGGCTACTTTCCATGTTCCAGGAAACAGAACAGAGAGAAAGAAAAAAATGCCCAAGGTTGGAGGTCACTTTGAAACAAAAACAGTTTTCGATGGCGCAATCAAGAGTATGATTGATTCTAAGGAGTTCATGAGTAACAGCTCGAGTTAAGTCACTCCGTATGTGGATCTTGTCAGTACTGAGTGTTGAGGTAGCAGTTTTAAGGTTTATTTTAGGTTACAGTTCATTTAATCTGTTAAAATCCAGTGCTGTGGCATAAAGAAGATGAAAATAAAATCATGACAAAATTAAATGAGCAGTCAATACCTGGTCACGTCTAGCAACACTGTGTGGTGGAACAAGGAAGTGCACTTCACTCCTGGTTGATGGCAAGTAATGTGTGAGATACCGCTAGTTTAGCATGTGGCTTATGCAACAACAAGGATCATGATTTACACCACCAAATGGTAAAATGACCGACCAGGATTCTAACTTTGGCCACAATGAGACACGGGATTCTTGTTCAGGTTTAAACTAAAAAAAGGAACTCTTCAAGTTTGTAATGCAACCGGAATTCATTCACTGGCGTCAATAGGATCAGGATAAGGGCATTTTGGATGCGAGTCCGAGCTTTTCTGGTCTTGGTTTTTGGAAAATAAATGTCCTCCAAAAATGTGACTCAGTCTGCCGAGTGATTTATGTTTTTTTTCTTCTTCAGGATGAGTTTTTTTGAATGGTGCAATTTATACTCTGGAACAGTGGTTCTCAATCTGGGTTCAATCGGTCTATGAATTGGGCTCAGGGTTCGACAAAGCCTCTGCCATACAATTAAATTTAAAAAAACTATACTTATGTCTTGAAATTTTATTTACTTTTTTTCTGGTTTTAATAAATGAGTTTTTTTAATGTCTTGAATTTGTAAAACAATCCTATTTTTATTTTTAATGAATGAAGGGTTCGGTGAATGTGCATGTGAACTGGTTGGGTTAGGTACCTCTAACAAGGTTAAGAACCACTGCTCTGGAGCGACTAATAGTCGCAAAAATATGGTACTTCCCCGATCAACGGAGGTTGAAACTGATGAAAATAACACACCTTGCCATCGTAGTACTTCTCCCGTTTATCAGTGAGCACCGAGCGAATGACAATGCCAGCATACTCGATGACCATCTCGCCTGCTTCAATGTTCCTCTTGCAGAAGAGTCCACGCCCATGAATTGCAGACCTACATCAAGTGGGATCAGAGATCAAATGACCTTACTCAGAAACATTGTACAGTGGTGCATTGATTCTTGAATTTAATTTGTACAGTGGCCATGAATGGAAATTCCCAACCCCTCCCGAAAACCCAACAACAAAAATTGTAATCTGTTTTTAAATAACAACAAACTGCACTCTATATTATATTTATTGGACTTTTGCTGGTCGCTGATGGTGTAGTGGTACGCTCGCCTGACTTGTATGCGGGAAGCGTGGGTTCACTTCCCACTCAGTGACGGTGTGGATGTGAGGGTGAATTTCTCTCTATATGTGCCCTGCGACTGGCTGGCGACCAGTTCAGGGTGTCGTCTGCCTCCAGCCCAAAGTCAGCTAGGACAGGCTCCAGCAACTCCCCCGTGACCCTCTTCGGGATAGGCAGTGTTGAAAATGGATGGACGGATGGATTTTTGCTTCAATTCAATGCTGCTCCTTTGATGTGTGCGCCTTGGCCACCAGGGGCAGTATAATACAGAGGTAAGGTACATGGAGACGGTTTCTCCTCAGTAAGCGACTGACAGGGTTTTCCAAAACTTCCAAATATTTGTCATGTTAAATTTTCACATATCTTAGTTTTGATTTCAAACAGAAACAGAAGGTGCAGAGAGTCTCCAGGATCAGTCGCATCTCTTATAAAGTTAAGTGAAAATTTAAATAAATAGTTCCCTGAAGTTAACACATTTATAAATGTATTTATTAGCCGTCAGATTTTTTATAGCGTCTATTGCAGGATGCAAACTTAACATCACTCAAATCTCATGAAAGTTCTGCGCAGCAGACATGTTTGTTTGATTTTGCCGATGTCTACGCTGTGTGAAGGAAGGGAAGAGATAACGCTACACTGCACACAGGTTGGTCTCTAGTGGCTGCGGCTGCAAAGTATGTGCTGCAGGTGATCGGCAATAAAAGGCATTGATTGACATAAGCCAATCTCGTACTTTTCACAGGAATCAGCCCATCGATTGGAGAACGATATGATAAACTCTAAACATGTTAACAGCATTCCAAAACGATTTGGGGAGCAAAATTCAGAGCTGACCTGTACACGCCAACAGCCTCCTTTGATGTTCTTTCCAAATGTCTAAAGCGCATGGCCATTGGCAACTCCAAACTAGTTGCCCGCCTAAGACAGAAGAGGGTTCATTCAGCATTAAGTTAAAAAAATATGGTAAGACTGCCAGCACAAGGCTTAAAACGGACGCCTGACCTTGTGGACTTCAAAAGAACATCATCTTCTTCATCGTCGTAAGACCCAATGTCAGGAAGCTGCCTATGTTGAGACGCTAGGAAGTTGAACATGTCAAATGTGGATTTTCTGTTGAGGCAAAGTATTTTCAGGTTTAAATGAGTATTTTCTTCATCAGTTCAATGACTGAGTACAAGGGAAATATTTAACTGTACTACTCTTTTACTGCAAGATCACTCAGCATTTTATTCACACACACCTAAGGTAGAATTCTGAGCGGGCACAACCAGTGGGATTGACAGGAAGATCATCTTCTTGGTTGAACTGCTTGAAGAAACGGAAGGTGTGATGTTGGCAGCGGTGCGCTCCTTGAAGTTGTTCCAGCAAGAAGACCACAGCATCGTGGAGCAGACCGAGCATTCGGGCGCCTGTGATCCTCTGGAAAGCCAGAGGTCTCAACTTTGCAATTGCTCGCGCCTCTTGCACACCATCTATCACAGCTTTCCAAGCCACTATCGGGACAGTTGGGAATGAAGCTTGTTAAAGGTAAATCCATGAGAAATGGGCTCGAATTTTCCAACATCAGACTCACCCTCAATAGTGTCTGCCTCCACATTGAAGCCATCATCACTGCTTATCTGGAATCGCAAGTGAGGCTGATCTTTATTTGCCAAACATTCCTCGTCCTCATCAGATAGCAGCAAGTCGTCATCCGAGGCGGAACCGGCGCCTAAAAATGCAAATCTTTATAAACTAACACAAATAGTTTTATCCTACGTCAAACATGCCAGGAGTCTCCTAATTAATTTAAGGTACATAAATAAGACTATTTTGGCTGTAATGCATTTTCTGTGTGAATAATATCAATGTTAAAGGTACCAGAGTATTTCTTCCAGTCAATAAAGGTGCTGTGCCCCACTGGCTCCCAAGTTTGCTGCTTGCCATATTCATCCCGAGACATACAGTCCCATGGTTCACACCTGGAGAAAGACAAAATAAATAGATTGCCCAGACAAAGCCAATAACCTCTCCTGCGCCCTCTCGCCTCCTCGCTGTCTTTCATACGCCATCAAGAGTCTACAATCAAGGTCAAATATTCAATATTCATTTGTCATTTTTATTCATCTTTTAGTATTTACTTCACATTTTATTCTCTATATGAAACACGGTTATTAACTATAAAATGTGTTTTTAGGTAATTTGTTGGGGGTGTCTGGAACAGATAAACTGGATTTACATTATTTCCAACGGGAAATATTGCCTTATCTTTCGTATGATTTGGTTTTAGATCGGACAAGCGAGGTCCCAATTTGCAAACATTTATTTTGTTTTCAAGCAACAATAACTATTAGAATAATGATGGTATGTCCGCTATTTAGGTAATGCGTCCATATATTAATAGCTTTCCATCCATTTTTTATAACACTTATCATCATTGGGGTTACAAGTGAGCTAGAATTAATTCCAGCTGACTTTGGGCAGGAGGTGGTGTACGGCTGGAACTGGTAGAATGATATTATTTGGTGTTTTTTAATGCTGTTGATTAATATGATAAATACATCAATTTTTAAAAGTAAATAACATTTTATTCCAAACAATATTTAATATTAGCAATGAAATGTAGAATAAATAAAAAAAATACCTTCGATACATTTTTAAAAATCTAGAAATAAAGCAGACTCACGCGCTGTTCACAAAAATGGCACTTGGGCAAATATTGAACATCTGACAGAGAGGTAGACAGAGTCACTAATACCTCAACAGGCAATATCCAACCAATCAAGTTTCCAGTTGGTTAAGACTAAGCGCAGAATAAAAGCATTAATTTGGGAACAGTAACAAGTGACATCATATCACAACAAGCTGATCAAAGCAACTTACTCTGCATTAAGACTCATAAAGGCTTAAAAAAAAGGCAATATTTTTCAAAACGGCACTTTCTCACCATGTTGAAGCATGCCCAAACATTATTTAGTAGTTTCTTACCCAGAGCTCTCAGAGTCACTTTGGCGCTCCTCCTTTAACTCATCCAGGTTCAATATTCCTTTAACTGTCGGAGTCTTGATGCGAACTCCAGAGGCCCTGCTGGAGACACTTGGTACGCTCAGTCGGTTGCACTCATCCTCGCTGGTAGGTTCAGAAGCTAGAAAATCCACTTTGGACTTCTTTGTCACTATACGGTCAGAAAGTGAAGAAACTCTCTTCATGCGGACGTGGGTGCGAGGGCGGGAGGCAGGAGCCGGTGCTGTTTTGGGACATGGTGCTGGAGCTTCAGGCTCAATGAGTAGGCCAGGGGGCAAAACCAGTGACGAAGGGCTAAGTGTCCGAAGCCCGCTCCACTTGGGCGTGTAGTTGCTAGCCATTGCTTGGTTTATAATTGCTTCGGCACTCTCCGCAGGTGATGTGTCTGAACTCTTTGTTGATAAAGAACACTGCCCAACTGTCTTGGAGGACTTAGATTTTTTGGATGCACTGGACTCTTTCTTTTTCTTTGGTTTTTTCTTTTCTGAGGCAGTTTCATCTTTGGGCTTTTTTGGATTCTTTCTTGGCTTTTTTACATTAATTGATGACAATGCCCCATTGCTATTGTGAGTAAGCAATTGCGTAACTGTGGTAGCATTCTGCTCTGCAGTAGTCGCTGCCGTGGAAGCGGTTGACATTATAATTGGTCCAGGAGGTGGAGTAGACATGTTTCCGGCTGCTGCTAGTGTGGCGGACAGTGCATTGCTTTGCAAAAGACTGGCAATCTGAGTGACACAGTTAAAGGATGGAGCGTTAGGATTTGGCAGCTGGAATGTGTTGCTGTCTGGATTCTTTACGAAAATCTGCCCAAGACGGTTCACCAACAGGACATGAGGTGTGGGGTCCACATTTGGACCGCCAACTTCCTTCACAGTAAGAATGGCATGTCCAGGCAGAGCTGGGGATACCATAGGCTGCTGCGGTTCGAAAGTAGGCCTTGGTGCAGAAAAGTTTATCGAAATTGCGTGACCAGAGGAAGCATCCTTCTGCATGGATGAAGAGCTGTAGCCATTTAAAATCACAGCGGATGTGGTGGTTTGGACTGGTGCTGGAGCAAACCCACTAACTCCAGGTAGAGAAGATACTGAAGCACAGGAAGAAACAATAGTGACAGCTGTTGAACCCAAAGGCTTTGCCTGCATGGAGTGCATGGGTACCGAGATGCAACCAGAAGTTACTGCTTGGACAGATGTCCCTGTTAACAAAGGTTCGTTTTGGGGCGCAACATTTAACACAGTTTGCGTCGGGTCTCCGACAGAAGTTAAGGTGGCTAATTTGTTAGACAAGGGGTCTTTTTGCTCAAAGGTTGAGCTTTGTGATGTGTTTATGGGCTGTAGTGGCATGCTTGTGAGCGAGGGCAGTGTGGAACCTGGTAAACTGGGACACATCTGAGTAGAGTCTGAAAGTCCGTGAGGACATTGCACATGTGTCGATTTTAGGGCACAGTGGGCATCGTCACCGTGATTCGTCGTGGAGTTAACAGTTATGTGGTTACCTAACACAGTGTGGGCAACCGCTGATGGCACAAAGTGGCTACTGTCAGATTCTGAATTAAGGGGTTTTGACGCTTCAGCCTGTTGGGATTCCGGTTGTGTGCAATCTAATACAGGAACCGTCTCTCCTAAATTGGAGTTACAGTCGTGTGTCTCCAGAGTAGTAGGCATTCCAGAGGCAAACTGTAGAGAGGAAGTTTTTAGAATCTCCTCCGAAGAGGAGCTCTCAGGCACCTTCGTCAGTAAATTAGGGTTCCCGTCAAGGGCAGGAAGCACGTTTTCCTGATTTCTGTCAGCTTTTTCCATTTTATGATGAGAGGCCACAGACATCTGTGATGAGAGCAATCCCATACTGATCTCTTTTGAGGATCCTGGAGGATTTTGAGATGTGTGTATGGGGTTACTGACTGCAGATAAGATCGTCAGAGATGAGGAATCTTTGTGCTTGTAATTTGATGGCACTATGAGGTTCTGATTCAGACTTCTATTGGTTCTGGTAAATGTTTCTGATTCAGGGATGTCATTGTTAGATAGTTTCTTGGTTGGAATATTTCTACCGGAACCATCAACTTTCTGAGGATCATCAGTTGTAGAGATGCTTGCATCACTCTCTGTTCCATCATCTACACCATCCAACTGAGCCATGTTCGTGGAGGAAGTAGATGTGGGAGACTTGGAATGCTCTTTAGACCCAGGACAGCTGACAATAGTCCGAGAGAAGTCAAAGTAATGTTCCATATCTTCATCAGAGGAGGTGTTGCTCAGGTCAGTCCTGCCTGAGGCTGCTGAATGTGGCAGACTGGCAACAAGGGACTTTTTTTTCTGTACCTCTTGGGCTCGACCCCAAAATTCTTCTTGATCATCCCCTTCCACTACTATTTGTCCACCACAATTCATAGCCACAACTTCATTCAGGACTGTCTCTTCAATCTCCAGTTCTGTCCTCATCTCCTGTCCCAGAGTTATGCTAGGATCCTTGTGATATGAAGTGAATGTAAATTCGTCGTCATCTTTCTGTTCATCCAAATCTCTCTGAGGTGAAGTGCCATTTGCAGGAGAGACATCTTCTGGCTCTGGTGATGCCAAGAAATTGTGCGGCACTTCAACAGAATCTGAGTGGCTCAGATCAAAAGATAACCGAGTCCGGGGTAAATTCTGTACGGATGGAGAGAAAGAGAGATTTGGAGATGCAAATGTTCCTGCACTGTCCTGCCAGGGAGACTGAGGGATGAAAGCTGAGGCACAATGGGTCTTTGCATTTCCAGGGCAACGGACTGAGGAAGCATTTCTGCCCCCAAATGGGCGGCCTAATGAAGAATTTATCAAGCTGTCTGAAGTAGCACTTGAGAAAAGTGGGGAACTTGGAAGAGGTTTTCCTGCACGGAGTGTGACTGGTCCAGTTGGGGGTCCCAGAGGAGCAGGAGATTTATTAGTGCGTAGGCTTGTTGCCTGTGAGAGGGGGTTGTGGCGTCGAGCTCTTCTGGTCTCCTCCAGATCACTTACTGTTAGTATGTGGTGAGGTTTTATTGGGATTGCTCCTGGAAAGAAAACAGAACCAATCTATAGCTTAAACTGTGACTAGCATCAACCGGTTCTGAGTGACTAAGTTATTCTCCCAAAAAAAAAAGAAAAAAAAAAAAGGATCATACAAAGAAGTACTTTACCTGGTGATGGCAAAGGTCGGGACATTCCTCCAGCTGGTCTCCTGGTTTGTGGATAGCTAGGAATCTTTGGCTTTGTTGAATGATCCGGTTTTGTTGATTGAACTGTAACAAGACGTTCCTCGGGTTGGGCCTGTGATTCTGGTGTATCAGTCATTTGGGCCTCAGATTCTGAATTTAAAAAAAAAAAAAAAAAAGACATTGTTATATTCGTATTATTGATTCTACTATAGTAATCGTGCTAATTGACAATATTTGCTAAAGAAGATACGGTGTAAATGAAGTAAGATCCACACCCAGTGATGGACAGGGGTTGTGCTCGATGGTGTGATTGTTTCCTTGGTCAGGCATCTCTTCAATGGGTTTGTCTGGTATTAATGGTTGCACTTCACGGACTGTGCACGTATATTTGCATTTTTGCAGTGGATTAATAGTGCTCCAGTACCAGCGAGAACACCTAAGGAAAGAAATCAGGAGCTTTAAGAAATGCTGTTCAAGATGTAATCTCAAGTGTAGATAAAGTGAAAGATAACTTACTGAAATCCCACAGGAAACAACTTTCCTTTGTTAGCCGAAAGTTCCGACAGGACACCAAGTTTATCAATCTGGAGAGAACCTATGTAGAGAAAATGTATACAAATGATTAAACCAACAAGGATGGAGTCAGTATTAAAACAAAAAATTATGAAAAGTAGTGGCATAAGCCATACCAATCATGACATTGATTAACTCTGGCTCCAGCCCAGTGAAGAACTTTCTGCGAAGGCTGATCCCTTCAAAATCCACATATACCCGTCGGTTTACTTCAAACTCTTGACCGGTTATCACCTTTACAACGCCAAAAACAAACCAAAAATTCCTTATGACACTCAAAACACCAAACATGTTATTCAGAAATGAGAGGGCAGAACACAATTACCTTTCCACTGATCAGATGCTTATGTTTGTGGCAGTAGACCTTCTTGTCATCCTGGAATACACAGTGGCGGGAGCGGGCACACATAAAGTGATAGTTGCTCTGACAAGAAGTCAGGCAGCAGCCAACTGTGGCACCTGTCTGGTTGCACCGTTCACACCGCTATCAACAAAATAGGATTGATGGGAAAGATTATTATTTTGACTTGATGGAACAGCAGCAGTTAAAAAAATACTGTACGGAGACCTGATGGGTATATTGACAATCAGAAATTATATATAATAATGGTGAAATAAAACAACGTATATCAAAACGAACCATCAAGCGACCCCTTGTGACGGCACTGTGTACATGTAGTAAAGAGCCATTGTCCTCTTCAAACACCTCAGCTGACCACAGACAGCAGTTGACATGTGCCCACTCATTCTGGCCCAGGTACAACAACCTGCCTGCATCCTACAAAACACCACAAATGTTGTGGAAAACTTTCGTCAGTAGCCAAGCAAAAATTTCCATCTTGCTATTAAATAATGAAAAACTTCCCAAAGACGTAAATGTCTCAAGACATGTTATGTCAAATACTGTATATTACTTACGTTGGGCTTACGGTCTCCATATTTTTGGCACAACGAGCACTGTCTCTCATCATCCCTCGACCAGCCTGTGTCCAGATCTGCTTTTGAAAACCGTCCCCTTTTTCCTGGGTATATGTGGGGGGAATTTTTTTTTTTTTTAAAAAGATGCATCTTCAGAAAAAGTAAAATTAGAAATTAAGAACAAAATAAGACTAAAAACTGCATACCTCTTTTTCAAATGTAATATTTACACATTTTAAAAAAGACGGGAGAAGCCCATACGAAAACAAAAATCCTAATCACTTCCAATCTAGTGTTCAGAATATTACCTTTCAATTTATGACGGAAAGCACTGCTGGTTTTGAAGTGGTTCCAGCTTGAATGCTCTCCAGACATTGGAGGACCCACTTCATCTTTCCTTTCATCTAAATTTTGACCACTGTCATCCTGTAAGATTTCCAAAGGAGTTCTAGATAGGAGCTCCTCCCTCTCCTGCCACTGGGCATAGACATGCTCCATGGTAGGAGGATGTACAGCATGCGACATCATCCCCCTATAGGAAAATATAGGCAAGTTGATTAAATTAGCAATTGTGCATTGCTTTCAATATTATTCACAAACAATTAGGTAGCCCAGGACCAAACAAGTTTCATCTGCAATAAACATGTACACAGTCCAACCAAGTCATTACTTACATGGGCAATGTTTTGGTACACGAGTTCCATACTTTTGGGTCTTGACTGTTGAACCAATTGAAGACCTCTTCAAGCAGCTTAGGACGAAACAGTCAGTTATAAATTTACCAAACATCATGAGCAACAATAACAGCTGCTGTTTGATTCTCATCTGACTTGAAATTTTCACCAAAATGTGTACAAAGGTGAATACAAAAATTGTGTTGTTTCATGACAGCACCTACAAAAGCACACATTTTTAAGGACATCCCAAAATAAAATAACAAATAATCGTATTATCACCTATCCCTTGAGTGTTAGTGAAATCGTCTATGAGCTGATAGATGATACAAAACATTTGAATAAAAACACGCTTCAAACGAATCAAACACATTTTTATCGAGGGGCGCCAGAGGCTGAAGAAAAATATATAGGGTACCTTTAAATAATATGAGCGTGCGAGGGCAGTGGGTCTTTTCTCTTCTGGAAGGCTTTCTTCTTGTTCGAGCCTTTTTCTCACCACTTGTACTACATCTTCATGGAACATTTTCTGTCAAGAAATAATATTAATTTTAGCACCCTGATTAGGTCATTGTCACGTTCCAAAAACCTCTGATTGTCTTTTTAACATTTTTATTAACCAAATTCTATTCAATGTCTTCTCTGACAAGTGACATTTTACAACGGCCTTCATACATACTGAATACAGATATAACAATTACCCACTATGTCTAATGCTACAAATACATGTTCTTGCATGTCCACATGAACAATATCCATCTACTGCTAATATTTTTTTGTTTTCAAATACAATATAATCCATAAGTGGACATTAAAATCAATAGAATAGGAGTAGTGATCATATACAAGATTTTCTTAAAAATATCATTTAGATGAGAATGTGTTTGGACTCACCAACGTTGTATAAAGGCCTTTGTCAAACTTCTTGCCCACAGCTCGGAGGTCACAGGCGGGTCGTCCTTCGATTCCACTGTCAGGTCCTACCAACTTTTCACACTGCATTAAAACAGTAGCGTATGTGCACATTGTATTTTATGATTTCTATTTGAACCATTTTGCAAAGTCTCTAAGCCTGCATACAGTTGCAAGAAAAAGTATGAGAACCCTTTGGGGTTACCTGGATTTCTGCATAAAGTGGTCATAAAAGGTGTTCTGAGCTTCATATTAGTCACAACAATAGACAAACCCAGTATGCTTGAACTAACTGCTTTCTTGCAAATGTATTTTTGACCTGGTAAAAGAGAGCTAAGTGCCTAACCTGGGAGCAGGTAACAAGGTGCTGGGTGAGTGTGGAAGACAGCAAGCAGGCAAGAACCTTCTCTACTCCAGATCGGAGCTCGATGTAGAGAAGTTCTCTCCAAGCACTTGGCTGAGTCACACTGCATGGCCGACATGAATACACCACACTCTCTGGTAAGCTGGACAGGATCTCATACAGTTCATCTGAAATAAATTGACAGGAAGACAGAATTTAGCAGAGATGTCAAAACATAAAATGTAAAGCTACAGAGTCTTTTGTTACTTTCTAATAGATGAGTTTCAATGTTTGCAAACACTGCCTCCAAGATGCGTGCGCATCTTAATGACGTCACTGTTTGCAAAGACGAGCATTCTTAATTGCCTCCTCAGTCCAATTCTCACGTCGTCAAGCTTGTAACCATAACTTTCGCCGTTTTTTCTGAAAGGGGTGTTTACCAGCAGGAATTCTATAAAAGACTAGACCTCTGTGTGCGCCCTTTCCATTCTGACAACCCACGGCACGAGACAATAGATCAGTTTCATGTGCCGTATGCACACATTAAGTCTGGCTGCGTGCGCATCTTGGAGGCAGAAGATGCGCGCGCAGCCAGAATTAATGCATTCATACGTCACATGAAACCGATCTAAAGGGCTAAGAAGAAACAACATCTGTTCTTTTTTTTTTTTTTTTAACACTCTCACAGATCTAATTAGCTGTATTGGATCAGCCGATGATTTTTATTTCAAATTTATATCAAATTTTGTGATCAGCTGTGGTTTCCCCACATACATGTTAATCTGTGTGGTCCAGTGATAATAGATTTTATTGCTACCTGTCAATTTGCAACCGATGTAGTAACTTTTGTTTTGTTGCACGGAGTCTGCGCTGTTCTGCACCTTGTGTGCGTCTGATAAGCAATACCACCACAGTCCTTTGTGATACAGTATGGCATAAAAAGTTATGAAAGCTATATATTTTAAAATTGAGAGTTCATTTCAGAGCAGAAAATCTCTCTTAAATGTAACCCCAAACACTTTTAAAATGTTTTGTAAAAATGTTTTAACGATTTTTAGTCAATATACATTTTCAACGAGAGGCCAGAGAAAATACGGGAATAAAACGGCTAAAATAAAACAATTCATTTGCACAAGCTAAATATTACCTGTTAGATCCTCACACTTGGCATGTACCCAGTGGTTACATGTGCCGCACTGCATCATCTGACTGTCATAGTCATTGTCCTCATAGCACTTAAAGCAGATTGGGCAATAGTTACCTAATGAGACAAAACATACACAGTTAAAAAAAAAAAAAAAAGAAACTAAATGCCATTTGAACTATTGGATTACTAGTCATAATAACAACCAGTCCGGAATCAAAGAAAATTGCCTCAAAGAAACAAACATATGTTTACCCTGTTCATAGAGTTGGGAACAGTCTGGACAGAGTCCTTTATCGTGGTTCCAATCAATGTCCCAGCTCTTCCCCGGTGTGACCCCGCAACTCCTGCACCTGATGCATGTCATACAAACCTACAGAGAGACAATCCCACTAATGTGTTCCACAATCTGAAGAGTTCAAGGAAACGTGTGCGCAGGTATTTTTAAGATGAGAACAACCCACCCAAGCTTTCCTCTTCTTGTTTTGTTTTGGATAATTTGGTCCAAGACAGGAAGCATGATAGCAGTTCTGACATCGTTCACACTCCAACAAGGGCTGAGGGAGAATATTTGAAAGCTGCAAGTGAAGTAAATTTAAAAAGACAAAAAAACATACACGAGTGGTGGTGTCTACCTTTGATTGCTTGTTTTTCCTGCCACACACACGGCAAAACTTGCAGTGACGACAGCACCAGTTTTCCTTGTTTTCCACAGAGGGGCGCTCTGCCTCTTCGAGGCAAAACCAGTGAAAGGGCTCACAGCACACTTGGCAATTCAACATCTAAAAATGAAAGACATTCAAGGTTTAAACACGCATTGTAACTGTAATAGTTCTATTTTGATTTTGGATATTAGAGCATTCCAAAATAAAATTACCTCATGTTGCCCTTTGCTGGCACAAAGTAGGCATACATGTGGTGGCATGTTGGGTGCAGAGGTCAGTATACTTAAACCGCCCATGTTCCAAACATTCTCCAACGTACAGTCCTCCTGAAAAGCAATTTCCAACACAATGACTTTACATTGCTTTTCGACACAGTGACAACACCAATGCTGCAAAGATGAACCTACTAACATGTGGAGAGATGTGAGAAAAGGAAAGGTAATATTTCCAAACATGGTAAACAAGGTATAAAAAAAAGTACTAAACATTCAGAGTGCAAACGCAAAAGCCGTTGACAAAAACAGAACCATAATAACTAGCAGATTGCTTATCTTGGCATCGTTCGGTGGTGCGTCTCCGAACCCTGCAAAACCAAATACTTGCGATGCAAGGCTCGAAATAATTGGCTTCGCATCTCAATTTGCGAGTCAAATTTAGCATTTTGTACCTCATATGGACACAATGAAAAGCAACACTGCGAGCGGGCACAATGTGCTTACGTCACAAACGAGCAGGAAGTCTAACTGGGTTCGCATCTCAATTTGCGAGTCAAATTTAGCATTTTGTACCTCATATGGACACAATGAAAAGCAACACTGCGAGCGGGCACAATGTGCTTACGTCACAAACGAGCAGGAAATCTGAAGTTATTCGGTTGATGGTGCAGGAAGATGGCAAAAATGTGGGAGCATTTCAGATTGAAACACAGGGCGAGCACCGTGGCGTGTAATCATAACACAGACCTTGCTTTCCACCGAAGATGACCACTGTGAAGCCATGCATGAAGCAAACCCAGGTAAAATTAACGTTCCACAAATCACTGAGATTCATGTACCTTGCTAAAATATTTGCTCAGTGTAGGCATGGCCAGTGTCGTACTCCAAGTAGCGATATTTTGTAGGGTTTTGGTGAAGTCAAATGAAGGAAATATTTGTTTCTTCTTAAATTGTGTTCATTTTAGTTTGAACAATTCTAAAATTTCGAGTAGAATAATGAATGTCTGTCTTATTCCTTGTCAGCTGGCACTTTCTCTTTTGTATTAACAGTTGCTCTTTAATTAAGCAAGAAGAGATTTCACCCAAATATTTGATTATTCAATATAAATTTCAGTAGGATACTCAAATACTAAAATATTCAATAGCTGCAGCCCTACAACTCCCATTACACTGTCATATTTTTATTATTTTACAAAACCCTTGCTTCATTCACATCCCCTCGCTGTGCTTTCGATCAAGGGGGCATAAAGCCAATAAATCTTTCGTTCTGTTTTCTAATCTGGATTGATCGATTTGTGATGAAATCTCTGAAACCCACTCACCCCCCCCCCCCTAAAAAAAATACCTTGAAGTCGACCCGGATTTTATGGGTGGGTTTTGAAGACTCAACCTCCCTCTGCTCAAAACCATTGGCTAGAGCAGCCAGGACACTTGGTGGTGTCTCCTCAAACGAAGCCTGTGAAGACAAACCCTAAAAAACAAACAACCTGAATGTCAGAGGGAACATACACCTTGAAGTACACATGAACCTTTTTTCCCCCCAAAAGCATGTCTGGTACGGAGTATTACATACACTTTGGGTATCCTGTGTTACTTTGGTATACTGCTAAAATGCCATCAACAAGGGGACATACCCAGCCCATCCACCATGTGACCCTTCATACACAACAGGTCAGTTGGGTCAAATTTGAGATGTATAGATGTTTTTTAAAAGACCCTTGTAAATGCTTTCTAATAATTTAAAAAATGTGGAGATTGGGTAATATTTGTGGAAGATATGTCAATTTAAAGATAAATTACGGAGATGGAGAATGGAGAAAATTGCGATCAAAGTTGGTGAAATATCCGCCTTAAGAATGCATACCAGCACTTACCTAGAAGTAAATGAAATCAACACAACAACACAACAAAATAATTCAAATTTTCACGCAAATATATCAATATTCTTTCCACTTCATTTTTCAATAATTGTTTACATTTTCAATTAATCGAGAAACTATTTGTATTGTTTATTAATTATATTATATATTATAGAGATAATTATCAATCAGGCGGCACGGTGGTCGACTGGTTAGCACGTCCACCTCACTGTGCAGAGATCCGAGGTTCGATTCCGGATCCCTGCTTTCCTGTGTGGAGTTTGCATGTTCTCCCCATGCCTGTGTGGGTTTTCTCCAGGTACTCCAGTTTCCTCCCACATCCCCAAAATAGGCATGCTAAGTTAATTGGACACTCTAAATTGTACTTCGGTGTGACTGTGAGTGTGAATGGTTGTTTGTCTCTAAGTACCAACCGTGGTCGACTGGTTGGGCACCCCTGATTTAAGACATTTCAGATTTTCTAACCTTCTCTGGTTTGCGTCGAACAGATGGCCCTCGATGTGAGCTAGATTTCCGATGCCGGATCTCATCATCTGATATATCTCCCGGGAATCCATCCACTGAAACAAAGTCTTCAGAGGACAATCAATCAATCAATCAATGTTAACAATGCCTCAAAGTCAGCGATAGCTCAGGACTGCTCTGCTGAGTTTTACTTTACCTGTACTCAAACGAGGCCCATTGCCTCTCCTTCTGGCTGGTGAAGATGAGTTTAGATCCTTTTCATCCAGATCTGACTCATAACCCACCATTTCAATGTAGACCCGCGGCTTTACAACACGTTTTGGCTGCTTCCTCACAGACGGACTGTTACTGTCTGCCTGGAGGCCAGAAGGCGAGTCAACCACACCCTCCATCCCTTCATCATTACTTGAATGATCCCCACTCAAAGAGGATCGCTGTCGTTTCGAACCTAAAAAATAAAGCACAACTTGTTGATTCAATAGCTTCTAAAGTTGGTATTTCAGAGAACGTGGAATTGAAGGACAGGAGTGAGAAATCACCTTTGGGTGCCGTTCTTCCACTTAGTCTTCGGGCTTTCCTCTCTTCAATTTGATCACATCTCTTGTAGCTTGTGGTGATGAAAGTAAATAACGGTTATTATTTGCAAATAATTCTCATCCACAATCCGACAAAAACAATAATAAAAATTCAACAACTTACACACAACACTGTCGTTTGGTGTTGGGACCACCAAACTTAGGTTTGTCAAGGCAGTTGATGCATCTCCCACAATCCTCTTCATGATTGCAACCCTTGCATACACCACACCTACGAGAGCGGTACCCAAAAGGTCCAAGGCCTTTTCGTTTCACAAAGCTGGAGGTCTTCTTGACCTTCGTGACTTTTGAATCTGAGAAATCAGGACTGTCTGATTCTGATAGAGAGCCATCTGCAACATCTGAAACACATGAAAGGAATGGAGAAACATAAGAGGCCTAAGAGGCAATTACGGCTTACAGACGTCCATAAAACCAAAAACATTGTGAACGTCCCGCTAATGTTTTCGGGGTATGAAGTGGGCATGAGATGAGTTTTGGCGGGTCTGTCTGGCTGCATTCATCAGCCTCTGCAATCGCAAATTATTTTTTTCTTCTCTCAAAGGAACAACATGAAACCTGACATGATTAGCAGTTCTATCTCAATGATGGCAATAATTGCATGGCATTTTTGAAACAAAAAACACCAGGAAACAAGTAAAAAGAGAAAAGTGCCATCTTATAGCACGCCTTATGTAATAATGAGCACGTGCGTGCCTGTTCAAAACTGGCGAAGGGTATGTCATTTTGCTACTTAATTGGCTTAAACTTTTTATTCCAGGGAGTCAGACACCATTAATATTTGCATAATTATTGTTTATACACACAGCCAAATGGAATGAAAGGCAATTAGTTTTCAGTGGTGTGTTGTTTTAAGTATATGCTTATTGTACAACTTTTCAGATTTACAAAACAAAGTTTTTTTGGTTTTTTTTTTTTATCTTAGACCAGGGGTCCCCAACCGCCGGTCCGCGGACCGGTACCGGTCCGCCGGGCATTTGGTACCGGGCCGCACAGAAAGACCTTGCCTTAATTCCGTTTTATTTATTTCGGAATACGAAAGATGTTTTATTTTGAAAACTTACCGGATTCTCCGTTACATCCGTCTGTGTCCAGCTTGACACACGTCAAGCCACGCTTCTCCGTAACGCGACCAATTAGGCTAAAAACAAACACCGGAGCTCGCAAAATGAGTAAAAAAACTGCTGGAGATCGCAAATGACGGCGGCCTTAAAAGTACGTTCGAGACAACTGGATTAAAGTTATGTCTGAATACTCTGAGATCGCCACAATAGCACT